TATATATATATATATATATATATATATATTTATTTATTTATGTTAATATTAGTATAACACACATATATCACATTTTTATTATGTTTTTATTAATTATTGAATAAAATCTCAATATGAATGAGCTAATTTAAAATAGTAAAAAATAATGAAAACTAAGTACAAATAATTAAAAAATGACAAATAAATTAAAATATGAAAACTAAAAGTATGATTAAGACAATATAGTGTCATCAAATCATCTTCACAACCGTCAGTGTTTCTATTGCGACGTACACCTACTTACTAACTTTTTTATTATTAAGACTCTTCATTAACACTATTCCATGTTAGTTGGTTGGTATGTTTATTGTTTACGGTTGCTTTAACCATTTTAATTTTGCGTGTTTGTGAGATACTAGGCTCACCTTATTAATTAAGACTCTTCATTAATACTAGTTTGAAATACTTTTTTTTAGATGTAACAACAACAAAAATAGTTAAAATTATTCTATAATTTATACATGTATTAGAAAAATAATTAAATATCTTTAAAGTACTCAATATCATAAAACTTGATTTTAATTCAAATTTTAAAAAATTTTCTAATAAATTTTAATTTATTAAATGATTTTTCACCATCAAGATCATAAGAATTATCGTGTTTTATACAAGATTCAAGATGTTTGTAGTATAATTTCAAGTTCTAATAAGATAATGATCTAAGTTTTTTTTTTAATAAATATAAAAATTCAATATTAATTTTAATTTATTTCTTTCTTTTCTAACCAAAATTTTTTCTAAACCACATGTTTAAACTCAAACTATTTGATAAGTATAAAAAAAAATTTAAATTATAATCTATCAATTAAATAAAAAGTCTTCATTGAGTACTTCCTTTGTTCTCTATTATAAATAAAAAAATAATATTTTTTCTTCTTAAATATAAGCAAATTTCAACTACTTTGTCTCATTTAATGATACTTTTTTTTAAAAAAAATATTTCTCCTTTAATGCTTGATTTTTTATTTGCGGTACTTCTTTTAGTATTTATAACAAGGATAATTTAAAAATAATATAATAAAATTTTGCAGATAATTAATTTTTTTAATATACATAAAATCAATTTTACTTATAATAGACAATGAGATTTTAATTGCTTATTTTTAAATATTAAACTCTTAATTTGTTGTAATGAAAAAGATCAATAATAACAATATTATAGAAAAATTTGTGATAACTAACAAATGGGTGTTTGCAAATTAATTGATATTCTAGAGTAAAATAGAAAATGTCATGATTAAGAGAATAAAAAGAGAATAAGAGAGTTAGAAACAGAGAGAAAGATAGAAAATTCAAGGTGACTCTTATTTATTAACAATAAGAGAAGTTCAAACTAAGAAAAATAAAAAGAAATAAATTAATAATATATTATATAATACTTTCTTCTTTACATTTAATATCACTTATTTATTTTACTAAAATTATGGACAAATTTTTTCAAAATTTTAATAGAAATTTGTTGAGAAATTAAATCATCATCTATCAATCGATTAATTGTTAGTAATTAAATTTTTTTTTATAATACTTCTTATATAATTTAATATTATGTAAAAATTTATTTTTATTTATATAGACTTAAAAAAATTAGTGTCCTAAAATTAGAGCCCTGAGAGAACAGACCACCTTAACCTAATCTTACTCTGTATCACTACCGATAAGATACTTTGCTTTTTATAATTCATTCTCGTCTTTATCAAAGTCCCTATCAGCAATATTGGCTTACATTAATTCTCTTTAACAACTATCTAATATATCTGGGGACAATAATCAAGGACGGAGCCAAGGGGGGACCTACGGGTGCCACGGCCCCCCCAACAATTTTAATTTTTTTTTATATACATATATATTACTATATGGCACCCCCTATTTTTAATATAAACTCATATGTATAATTAAATGAATAACCCAAATTTATTTTTTTATTCAACTTTTGGACTTCTGGTACGGCCTGCTATGTGGTATCACTTTGGAATTTATTCTCGGCCCCCAGTATTGAAATCCTGGCTCCGTCCCTGACAATATTATCAATATTTATAGTCTTTCACATATTTTATATAAAACTTTTGATGTCATCAACTAATATATAGATAGTTTGGATACAATTTTTTTTTTCAAATTTCTTTAATAAAGTTTCATATTAAATTTTATAAATCATGTTTTTTTTATAGAAAATACACTACTAAAAGTTGGTCAAACTTTCTGGTGGATAATTATATGAAAAAAGAAAAATCTGCAAACATGTAAATTTCACCGCATATTAACACTCATGAGGAGCTCTTTTATTTCACTGACCCACACTAACATTGGGTCACTAACATTGATAACTTGCATTTCAAACTAAAACAAGGTTGGGATACTTAAAAAGGAAAAATTATTACATAGTCACGAACCACACCAACCTGCTAATCTCTATCTAGCATGTAAATGAAACTTCTGAAAATGAGTTAATAAAACGCAGTTACATATCATAAGATGATTTGATACGATGACCATTTTACATTATGTAATAATTTTTCCTGTAAAATACAAAGGCTAGTAGCTAGTGGCAGTTATGGCAAGACTCTCCATTGACACCCTCATTACCTGCCAAGATCATATATTTGTCTTTTCTGGTCAAGCTGGTGCATGCAAATCCTAATGCATTTCCAATCTCGTGTTGCACAAAATTGGCAACTTCAATTCTTGATTTTCCACCTTCATGGCATGTTTGTGAGGGTGGTAACCGCTCGAGGATTTTAATGGAGTACGTAGGATTTGGATTCAGGAAGTGAAAAAATGGGTCCAAACATTTGTGTCCACTAGCCGTTGTTCCATAGAACATGCTAACCCTTACATCAACAGCCACAGGTACAATGTCATCTGTGAGTTCAGCAAACAAAGGACTAAACCTTAACAAGTAAGGTTCCCTGCAAGTTGTTCCCTCAGGACACACCACAAGGTTGCCAAGGCTAAGCAATTTGTCCATTGTTTCTCTGTCTCTATCTCTGTCCCTTGTTAGTCTTATAGTTCTGATGGGGGCAACTAGCTCATTGAATCTACTCAAGCTGTATGTGACTGCAGAGAGAGGTTGGTCCAAAACATATGCAATGTAAAGAGGGTCAAGCAAGGTTCTGTGATTGCACACATAGAGCATACCCTTTTGTTTTTTCTCGTTTGGGATCAAAGACAAAGGGTAATGGAGCCTTGAAAGAGTGGTCCTTGTCCCTGAGAAGGCCAATATTGGTGCAGACACATTGAAGGGCAATGCTATGCCAAAAGTGAATCTGAAGATTGAAAGAAATAGTGCAAGAGGTAGCCACATTAAGAAAACAAGAGAAGATGCAGGGGTTGGCCTGAAAGCCAACCTTCCATCATGGAAGATCAATGGCTTAGGGTACTTCTCTTTTGGAAGGACATGCCAGTTTCTCCTCTCCTCACAACTTAACTTTAAGCAAACCTTCTGCAGAAAGAAAGCAGTTAGAAAAATTAAGTTATAAATATGAAAGTGCACAAAAGCACATGTATGAAATATCATATATATATGTATGTGCTCAAAAATGGACAAACCTTGAAATGAGGGAAAAGTTCTTGGCCAATATACTCAATATGGCTACCTACAATACCAATGTTGTTGTCGGTGTCTTGTTTAGCCTCATATAAAGGGGTTTTGTTTTCCTTCCAATTCTCAAACATTCCCAAAAAGTAACCATTGAAGGACTTAATGTCTCTTGCTTCAACAACTTCAACCCCTAAGTAGTCCTTCAAGAAGCCTTCTACCATGACCCTAGGCAACTTACTTGATGCCACCTTTTTCTCACACCGCTTAAAAACTTCAAAGCCTTCCTCCGCCATATCTTCCAAGAAGAACTTTGGCAAAACCGCTGATCCTATTCTGAATGTGTCCTTTCTGATGCCAAAAAAGGTCAAGAAGACCATGATGCTCAAGCCAAGTTGATCTTCTCCCACCAGCAACACCAAAGGGTATGAGAGAAACAAGATGAGAGACCTTAGTAACCCACCAGCTTCAACAGCAACCAGCATGAAGTAAGGAAACAAAGAAGCTGATCGTAGCAGAGTGCCCTCAAAATCAAAAACCACTGTTTTATTAGCCAGTTCTTCTATTTTGTGCACTCTTTTCATCTTGCTAAAAGTTTGGTTCATTGTGTAACAAAGAAAGTGATTTTGGCTTTGCTGTTTCTGGCTCCCCAGACCAGTTTGACTGGAATCAAAAAATCAGAACCCTTTCACGTGATGGGTCGCTGCTTGCAAATTCTGTAGCAATTGACAATCATACAAGAGAAAGAACATTTTATATATATCTTTTAGCATCACTTGATTTGACTTGGTAGACTGTGATGTATCAATGGTCACAGAAGCCTAAGAATTAAATAAGGAAAGATTACGTTGCTGAGAGGTCATGTGGCCATTCAATGGTTTAGCAATTTGAATATCTTCTTTGTTATCAACTTTGGGGTTACGTTCATGTAGTTTAATAAAAGACACTGTTAAGGTACTGACACCATTAACCATCCCCACGAGCCCACAACCGTACGTGTGTTCAGTGTCATCTTCACATGCTTACTGAACTATTTTCATCAATGTATTGATGGTAATATATTACCCCATTTAGATCTTTTTCATCAAAAATAAATAAACATCATTCACAAATTTTTAGAGACAAATGAAGAAAGAAAAAGGGAGAGAAAGAAAAAAAATGTAAATAATAAACACCCACCTTCATCCTGAATTTGAAAGACACCGGTATATTGATTTCTTAAAATTAAAAATTTGTTAAATAAATATTTAGAATGTTAAATAAATTCTTTAATTTAATTATTCATTGTTATTTTGGTCCTTGAGCGTATATTTTTTATATTATTATTTAATCATACACTTTTTTTTAATTTTAATTAATATAATTGTAAATTTATACTTTTAAGTATGTATTTAACAATTTTTTAATTTTAGAAGATCAATTAATTTAGCTGTTTACTTGAAAAAAAATCATACTTGATAAGTGATATAATAATAAAGAAAAAAAAAGGTGATAAAAAAGAAAAGTAAAATTAATATGCAAAGATCGTTATCAACATGATACAAGCACACAATGGATACCATGATATTTTATGAATGTATATTTTAAACATAATTTAAAATCTTTTACGTGATTATTACGAATGGAAATAAGTGAATCTTTTGCATGATTATTAGGAATGAAAATATATAAGTTAAGATAGTTCTGATTTTGAATATATAAATTGAATTTATTTTATAAAATTAAAATTAAAATTTGACGTATTATTTATTATAAATTTTTTTATAGACTATATTTTTTTAAGTTTAATATGATGTATTAATTTATTTAAAAATTTATTTTATATTAATAATGATAATTAGGTTAATTTTTAAATGTCAACAAATTTATTTTTAAATACGTCATTGTAAGTTATTTTTTAATTTTTATGATAAAAAATAGCTTATTTAATATTATTAAAATTTAAAATTTAAAATATATACAATGTTACAAAGAGAAAAAAAAAAGTGAATCATTTTATATTAAAAGAACAATTCATGCATAGTCATGTATGTTAGCATATATTTACACAAATGACATAAGTTTATAAATCTATAATGAAAAAAAAATAATCGTGGAAAAAATATGTTAAATATTTACTATATCTAATTTGGTATATTATAAATAACCAACTCATATTTTAACAAAATAAAATAATTATGATAACACTTTATAAACTAAAAAAAATAATTGCACATTAGGTGATATGCAAATATCAAGTACACTACAATGTCATAAAGAAGAAATAGATGAAATTATTTTCTATTAAAAGGATAATTCATGCACATGCATATATACTAACATATATTCATGTGCAGATTATGATAAAAGGATAATTTTATTCAAATAATATATATATATATATATATATATATAATAGTGATATATATATATTACTTTTTTGTTATATTATATTCATAATAGGCTGACTTATCAGATTTACTAGACTTTTTTAATAAATATAAGTCTAACCTTTTTAAATAAATATATTTTTTAAAAATTTAAATCTAATATTTTTATTAAACAAATCAAATTAGACTTTAAAAAAAGAAAACTATATATCACTATTTAAGATAGATCATATATCACTATTTAAAAATTAATCTATTCATAATGCTTACACATTTGTTGGTGTGATTATTAATCAACTTTTATATCTTGTTCTAATTTTTCTCAACATTAAATTTCAATACAACTATAATATTTTTGTTTTCATCCTTTAAATTTAAATAGACATTACTTATTAGATGTTTATCCAAAAATGGAATAACGTACAGTGATTATGTGACCCTCTAATAATTTTATAAAATTAATAATTGCGACGCACCACAGACTCAATAATTTGGCTAATTAATAAACCAATGAAATTTTGTAATGGAGCACATACTTTTAAAAGTTTTTAGAAAACTCGTTGAATTTATGAAAATAACATATATTTTTATAAGATTTTAGTTCATCTATATTTTTTTATGTAAAAATAAAATAAGATATTTATATTGATTTAGATTTCTGTTAAGTGAAATTAAAAAGTTAAGGAAAATAAATATGAACAAAATTTCACCATGAAAAGGGAAACGTGAATAAATGTATTGGTTATAATCTTGTTATTAAAATTATTTATTAATAAATAATAATTTTATTATAAAATATATAATAATATTAATTTTTTCTCATCTATATATATATATATATACATACATATATATATATATACATATATTTATTAAATTATACTTTTGATTCTTTATCTTATTTTTAAAATTCATATTAGTTATTTATCTTTTAAAATATTTATTTTGATGCTTTATTTTCTTGTTTTGAGTTGATTTGATTTCTTTAAAATAATGATTTTTATTTTATTTTTGAGACACAATTTTAAATATTTTTTGACTAATTTAAAACTTTAAAACTCATTTTGTTAGATTTAATTACATGAAAATTATTTAATACAAATGAAATTTAAACCAAAAAAATGTCATAAATATAATAAAAATTATATAAAAATAAGTCTAAAAAAAATTAAAAAAATTAATTTCATATTATTTTCTGATTATTCAAGAAATATATTTTTTTTATATGATTTTCACTATATTTATAATTCTTTGAGATTCAAACATCAATTCAATTTTATAATTTTTATATAAATAAACTTAATGTTATAAGTTTCACATCATAAATTAATTGAAAATTAATTCAAAAACATGTTACAAAATTGAAAATGATTATTATTTTTAAAAGAAGTAAATTGATTAAAATATAAAAGATAAAAATTAAAATAAATATTTTAATAAATAAAGAATCAAAACAAATCTAAAAAATATAAGATAAAAGATAAAAATATAATTTAACTTATATATATAATAAAAGGAGGGATCCTTTTACTCTAGGAATAAACTTATTCCATTCAATAACTCATGTTCTACATCAAATTTTAACGATCCAACCGTTCAATTTAAAGTTGTTAATGCATAGATCAAATCTGCAAATTTTTAGAAAACTTGAAAATCATGTGATACTTCATTATCCATCAATTTGAATTAATGAAACGAAGTATCAAATGATTTTCAAAATTTCTAAAAATTTACAAATTTGATCTATGCATTAAAAACTTTAAATTAAACGGTTAGATCGTTGAAATTTAATGTAAAACATGAGTTATTGAACGGAGTAAGTTTACGTAGACTTACTCCTAGAATAAAATGATCTCTCCTCATATTATAATAATAATAATAATAATAATAATAATAATAATAATAATAATAATAATAACATATTTATTTTTATATAATTTATCTTGCTGTTAACGAACGTACATATATGTCCGTTTCTCTCTGACTAGGTAGTTGTAATTAATACCGTGTCCAATGGTGGAAAATTACTACTATGTTTAAATGACAGATCTATCTACCATTTCGGCAGTGCATTTAAGCCAACAACGAATCCGACAATTAGTTGTATAAATTGACATTTTTTTAATTAATTTTTGTGTCTATTAAATACAAAAATTTAAATACTTTATTTTTAAGAAACTAATATATTTAACTTTATTTAATATTTTTATAAAATAAAAGTTATTAAAATTTATAAAATAATAAATTTATTCTTACACAAGCTATTAGAAGTGATGAAAAGGTGATATAAACTACTAAATGCGTGTGAAGTAAACACAACCTATCAAATCATACATGACGGGCAATTTATTGTTATTGAGACATCTTGCGTACTAATTAATTAGTTCTTTAATTTTGGCCTGCTTGGTTCTTACTAAACAAACAATGGTGCGAAATTTGTAAGTGCAAAACAGCCGTATATATAGAACTATTAACTATTTTTTTTAATGCTTACTAATAGTAAATACAAATGATATCATTGAGTAGAAAGCCAATCAAATATTATTATTCAATATTATTTATTTTTAATTTTGTGAGAATACATTTTAAAAAATAAAGTGTAATAATAATTATTAAATTAAAAATTAAAGATTAAAATTGTAATTATTTTTAAAAAAAATTATATTCATATTTAATTTTATCATAATTTTTAATTATTAATTTTTTAATCAATAATTATAACTGTGTTGTGTTTATTTTCTAGAGTACATTTATTGTTATAAAAAAAATTAAATCAATCCATTTGAAAAGAGTGAGTGGCAGATTTTAAGCTTGTCATGGGAAATCATGCATATGGTCCTTCCAAAACTTGTATGGATTGTTAGAGATATATTGAGATAAATTATTGACTACCTTAAATATAATGAATTTTGAAAGAGTGCAAAAGAAAAAAAAAAGTAGTTATGATTGCTTATTATGTTTTCTATTTAGGAGATTAGTTTTAACACATTGTTAATATATAATAACTTTAATAAATAAATTTTATGAGTTTAATAAAATATTTTTTATAAGTAAAAATTATAATGACATTAACAATATTTAAATATATCTTCTTTTTGGTGTTGAAAAAGAAAACATAGCATTTTGTATTTGTAACACTCAGATTTATGGAGTCACTGAAAGTTGTGGGGTTAAGTAGAGAGTTATGGCTAGTTGATTGGTTCAGCATAGAAGGAGGGTCTTATAAAGTTTTCTTAAGAAGGGGCAGAGATTTCTCTTTTCTTTTCACCCTTTCAAAAGCATTGAGAGAATAATTAGAGTCTTTTCTCCTCTATCCTTGAAGTCTCCCTTCCTCTTCCTTTTCCTTGTAGTTAAACTAGTGGACTAGCTTGGAGATCAAAGCTCTTAAAGCCGAGGATCTCTCCCTGAATTCGTACGGAGATTGTTGTCTTATCCTTCTCTCTTTTCGTTTATGGATCGTTAAGAGGTAACATCAGCTTGTAGATTGATGTATTTTGTGTTGCATGTGG